TTTATAAGATATTTCATATTTTATATTTTTTCTGACATATTTTTATATAAAATATGAAATATATTTTATAAAATACTTATAAAATATTTATAAAATACTTATTTTTTTAAGTTTGTCTTTATATGCATAGAATGAGACAAACCGAGTAATTAAAAAAAAATCGTAATTATATATATTTTCTTCTAGTTATGAAGCTTTTAATCAACATGTTTTTCTTTTGAAATGAAGAACAAATAATAATTGATATAAGTATATTAAAATATTCTATCCTATGTATACATGTTATTATATGTATACATATTATTATATGTAAAATGTATATGTATATTATATATATAACACGTTTAAGAATATACAAGAGATACTTCCTAATTATTCAAAGGCACGATGCGTGAATTGATTTGCCGCGCAAGGAATACTCCATTCTTAGGTCAATCATTCTTCAGGCAAAAAGAAATATCAAAAATAAAAGAGTAAAATTTGAAAAAAAAAAGATTAATGACGAAAAGAAAATTGAAATAAATCAATGGCTACAGCGCAAACAAAATAATAGATGCGGCAGAAACGGTATCAAAATAAATAGAAACCAATTAGAATAGCTATATTATACGATATAGAAATTATACATTTAGAAATAATGAATATTTTCATTGCCTGTATCTCAGAAATGCTTATATCTCTAAATTCATGGAATACATCAAAAGCACTAATATTACTTATCACGTAACACTGCCGATTATATCAAATATTTCAGCGGCATAATCTGATAACATTTCAATTAAATTACGATGTTATCAATAGCCGTTTTAGCATTTATAGTTATATGTATATCAGTTTTATATATATATATATATATTATATACGTCATGATGAGAAAAACAAAGTGTATCTGTGTGCATAATAGAAGCAATAGAGTCGGAGCAACCAATCAAAAGTAATCATAAACACAAAAAATGTCAATTTCTCATTTCTGATTTTTGTCTATTTCCACTGACAAATGTCAATTTTTCTTTTTGAAAAGATAAAAAATTTAATTTGTTTCTAATATATAGTACTGGCTGTGTGACTTCTACAATTTTTTATGCAACACGGCATCTTGAACTTTTAATTTAATCCTCAATTAACATTTGACAGTATTGACAGCTGACTTAGCCAACTGTTAGCAGCCATATAGTTTTTTAACATTTGTGACCAATTCCTGATTGGCCATTTATTATAAACGAGTGCGTACGAGAATAATACACCTTATTTTGTTCCATCATGAGGTCTGTTTTTTATTTCTATATTTTTTGAATTGGTACACACGATGCAATAAGTTCAAGTGAAAGAAACGTATATTTATTTCACTTTAACTTATTGCACTATGCATTAGAGAGTGTAGAAATAAAAAACAGATATGATACTTTACTGCAATATACGTTATACGTAACGCGATGATTACTAACGGTGGTAATTCTACTGTTTTCTCTGCAGCCATATTGTATTATGACAATAAATACGAGAACTCATGTGAATTTTTTTTCTGTACGTTATATTAGTCGTATGTATGTACGTATTATACATACGTTTTATTTATACGTATTTTATGTTAAAATAAATTAATTTATTCCTACATCCTCACACTTTTGATAATATAGATCGATAAAACGATACCGAGAATTCTTTTTTGTTTAATAAGCAATTGTAAATTTTGATTAATTGTCATATTATTTATTTTTGTTTAAAAATATCGAAAAACACATAGATTAAATTACAAATTAAATCAATTCAGTATATATAATAAAAATAGATTAAATTATAAATTAAATGTCAATTCAGAATAATAAAAGAAAGAAATTGATATGTATATTATCTTTGATTTTATTATTTCAATTAACATCGTACGCAAATAGTGGCACACGAAATAATCATTTCAATATACCTAAATAAAATAAAAAAAAAGAATTTAAAAAAAAGAAAAAAAAAGAAAAAGGAACACGTTCACATGGATTCACTTCTTGCTTCTCGCGTCATAGTTCAATGCGGTTCCAGTAAGGAAACAAAGACCATCTGCCTAAGCATGTTCAAATTGCATTCAACTACTATCATTCGTTATCTTTGTGCCTATTAACTAACTGTTAAGGAAGAAGAAAGAAGATACATATTCGCTTTTCTCTCTCTGGCCTTTCTTCCCTAACGGTAGTTCCGTTCTCACTACCTCGACATCGATCGCAAGTGAATCGCGCTTCGATTACAAAATTAATATCAGATATCTCATGTAACAAATTTTTGTGTCCGTTTGTTCTTGAATTAATTGTAATTCGGAAATATATAATCATGTAAGTGTGTATCTTTCATGTAACTTTTTCCCTAAGGCGGGAATGTGAAAAATAAAAAATTTTCTATTAACTTCAGTGATAAAAAATTTTCACTTTTACTTTAGGAAAAAAGTGACATGATCGATATCCTGAGTGATTTTTATATTAAGTGGAAACATGATCAGAGTTGCAATCGTTTCCTTTATTGATCGAAAAAGGACCCCGCAGATTTCTTATAAAAAAAAACCGGCTTTTGTCAAATTTTTGATATGTATTTTATGTTGATCAAAAATTTCAATGGGCATATGGAAATAAAAATAAATTCAATTTTTATGATTACAAGACTCTAAATACCCTCAAAAATATTTTACAGAGATCTTCTACATAAAGTACACATTGTGCGTGTATGTGCACAATATTATATTTTGCATGTGCATGTAAAATATACAAGGTGGGACAAAAGTCTAAATACAATTAGACATCTCTTTGTAAGTTTTTAATTTTTGCTTTTTAATTCTATATAGAATTTTACTTTTGTTTTAAATTTTAAAATTCTTCAATTTATAATAATTTCATATTGTTCTTCCATTTTGTAGTGTCAATTTCAATTTCTTGAAGCTGAGAAGATTCTTAGACAAAACACAATAATTTTGATCCATTTTGACTCACTTAAAAAAAAAAAACCACGATTTCTGTAAAATATTTTTGAGTGATTTAGGATTCCTTTAATCATAAAAGTTGAATTTTTTGGGGTCGTTGAAATTTTTAATCAGCATCATGAAAGCAGTCACAAAAATTTAACCAATTTGACAAAAGTCTGTCTTTTCATGAATTTTCTATTTTCTCCTTTTTTTAGTAGATATTCATTAAATCTATGTATATACATAAAATGTGAGCTCAAATAGTATATCTAATAGAGACCCTCTAATGGAGTCGCGATATGAGTCGATTTGAATCGACTTTTGTATGCAGGATAATAATTTCAGTAAAATCTATAACAGAGAGAGAAATATAATATTGTATTTCTATTAATTAACGCATCTCTAATCTAAACCTGCAGTGACGGATCACTCACACACGTGTACATACATGTATAAAACACGATAATAAATCGATGGCGAGGCACAATATAATTTGTATAAAATAAATGTTAAAAGTATAAAAAATTTTTATTTCTTTTTCTTTACGTATCAAAGTATCGATTGTATATTTTGAAACGTGCGAAAGTTAAACAGAAGTGAATTTATTAAATAAATATAATATTAGGCATTAATGAAATTATAAATATTCCATTGAATTTGTCACTTTTGTAATTTTAACCTCGTTTCAAGATACACAATCAAATTTTCAAAATAATTTTGTAAAAAAAAGCGTTAAACTAAATAATTTTGTTCGCATTTATTTGTTAAAACCTTTAAAAATCTCTAATTTTAATTATATTATAGAAATTTTAAAGTAACACAAATATATAATATTCAAATATATAGAATTACTGAAACATGGCAGACCAACGCGCGACTTTCTCATGTCGTTATTTTATGTTAGAGAATCTCTATCTAATAAATTGTAGAACAATCAATAATATGCAATATTTAATTAATAATAGTGTCTTCTAATTAGAATTTAAAAATCACTCTAGATGATCGTTTACGCAAAAAAAAATTAGATGATAATCCCATGATATTAACGATAATTGCTCGCGCGTTTTATCGCAACCGCAATACCTGGAACGGGATGTTCTCTCAAATTTAAGTAGAACTAAAGATTTAAATTGTTTAGAAAATGCTATTATTCATGACATTCATCATCGTATGAAACGAGGAGTCGAGGAGGGATGCATGCAGAGAGAACGCTTCCGTTTTATACGAAGAACCGATGATTCCTGAGAGATATTTGCGAGAGGGAGAAAAGGAAGGGAAAAGGGCATTGAGAGCCGAGAGGTTTAGAGGGTGTCCAACAGATCGAGAAGCTCCAGTTGATTATTTTCGTCCCAACCGGCAATCAACAAACTCGTGAAGTCGTCCTCGCTCAAGCTCACCTGCGTCGACTCCGGTACCTCCGACAGATTGTCCGTTATGGGGGGTGACACGCTACTAGGCGGGGTCTCATACAGGGTATTTGACAAACAGCTGGTGGGCGGCGTGCAGCTGCTACTGGTTTGAAGAACATTGAGCGTCATCGCTGTCGCTGCCGTTGTTGTCGTCGTTGTCGTCGTCGTTGTCGTAGTTGTCGTCATAGAAGGAGATTGCCTCTTCGTGCTCCGAGTTCGCTGTGAGATAGCGGAACGGCGCCTGGATCGTTTGCCTTCCTCCATTCTTTCGAGATCCAACTTCCAGAAGCCACCCTTGCCCGGCTCGTCTTTGGAACGTGGCAACTTCAAGAAGCACTTGTTCAACGAGAGATTGTGCCGAATTGAGTTCTGCTCGAGATAAACGATAAAAATATCATTACTATCAGCGCTCAATAATGTTCAGTACTTAAGTAATAAAGTCAAAAATTTTCTTTGTAAAGTTTCTTTTTAAAGTTTTTCGGAAAGCAATGAAATGAAAATTTATACTTATATTTTAGATAAAATATGAAATAATAAAACTTAGATAAAATACATTTTTAAATAAAAATAGATAATTTTTAAAACATATTTAATAATAAAATGAAAATATAAAAGGCTCAAAGATTACATCAAAAATAAGATCCTATTCTATATTAGTAGCTCTATTCTCAGCTTTTACTCTATTATTTATTAAAGAACTTGCTTTGGCTCGTAGCGTTTTATTAGTTAAATATATTTATTTAGATAAAAAAAAATACATTGTTAATTAATTCAAGGAATAAAATAAAAAATTAAGAAAGAATTACAAATATAAAATCCGTTTACCTGCCAGGCTGGATCGGCGTATTTGTAAAACAAGAAATTTTCTCGGATCCATGCGTAGATGTTTGAAAGAGAGACCTTGTTATTATTGGCGCGCATCGCAAGGCAAATGATAGTGGCATAGGAAAACGGCGGTTTTGCATCAGGATCCGTTCGATATTTCTCAGCATTTTCCGCAAGATCTAATAGATAGGAAATCGAAAGAAAATCATCCGATCTTCATCGTTCTGCGATTCAAAAATAAATATATCGTGTATCTAGACATAATTATTTTCAAAATATTGATCAAATAATTTAAACATTTCATAAAAGTTATCGATATATAAGTAATGAGAAATAAAATGGAAAATTGCACACAAAAAATAAATAAATTCAAAAAACAAATACAATAAATTTGTAATAGCAAATAATTGAAATAAGTTTTTATGATTTGTATATCTCTCAAACAGATACAAACATCATAATAAATTTATGCAATAAGAAATAAGTTTTTAAATAAACTTATTTCTTAATAATTGGGAAGTTCTTTATCACTTTACAATTTTCACAATAGTTAATGATATTAACTTCTAAAGATTGAATAAACTCAATCATACCACCATTCGCTTTGTGTTGTGTAAAATGTATGCAAAGCGAGAGTCATCCCATATTAAAATATGGTTTAGGTTGAGTTATTTTTTTTTTTTTGGAAGTCCCACCTTCCACAGAGAGGCAGCATATCTGTTACACGCTTTACAACGCAAAACAATAAAGGGGTGTGAGTTTTAGGGGTAGTTGTGTAATATTAAGAAATACCTCACTTTCTCCCTATCAGAAATAAAACGTTATTAGCAGAAATAAAATTCTATTTAAAAAATTTTTTTGTTTCTAATTTTTTAACTTAGTAACGATCGACGGCTAAAACTTGTTGGAGGTCACTCAGGATCATGATCTTAACTATATATGTCAAGATTAAGATCATCGAACCGGAGTACCTTGATCGATATTTTTATCAATTGTTTTGTTAATAACATTTTAACGGATAACGACTAAAACTTGTCAGTTACTCAGCATTATAATTTTAATAATGTGTCAAGATCAAGATCACGAGCGAGAGGTCCCCTGTTCATATTTATCAAATAAATTTGTGTGTGTGTGTGTGTGCGTGTGTGTGTGTGTGTGTGTGTGTGTGTGTGTATGTATGTGCACAATTTCCAAGAATAGATATAAATCAGCTAACGCGAACCAACACAGGTTAGACGTGTGTGAAATAGTATATTTTATTCTTGAGAAAAATTGACAAACGTTTCAACCCTTTCGATTGGGTCTTCCTCAGTGTAAAAATAAAAATAAAATCGGTAAATATAAATTTAATATAAAAGACGCGATGCAAAGCAAATTAAAGTATCGTTAACATATATTCATAAAATGATAATAATGCTGTCGTACACAATTTATTTTTAGATATATAGTTATTCATAAATTAACGAAATAAACAGTTTTTGGTATATTTTCAAAGTCTCTCTTATACCGATTGTGTTGTTTTATGGAAACACATTTCAACAATATTAATATACACTTTGCATGAATTTTTATTCTGTATTTCTCTCTTCTGACATCATAAAGTCTATTCTACAATGTGCTTTTTGTTTCCTTTCTTGCTTTGTACTATTTTTTAACATCTTGTATTTTTGCTTCTTATTCGATTTTTTGTTTTACGTCGCGAGATAAAAGTTAACCAACTTTGAAAGAAACAAGAAATATGTAGCAAAAAATACAATTGTCGATAAAACGATTGCAAAGGAGAAAAAAGCAAAAGGTAAAAAGCAAGAAACAGGAAACAAAGAACACATTGTAGAATGTAGGCTTAAAAGATTTGTGATTTCAGAAGCGAGAAAATACACGACATAGAAATGTGTTTTAAAAACAATACTTAAAAAAGAATTGACTTTGAAAATATACAAAAAAATTGAGATAGTAACGGTAAGCGAATAGAAATTTTACACTTTACAATAAATTACGAAAATAGAAGACTTAAACTTCAAAATAATTTTTTATGATTTTTGAAATCCAATTGCATAATAATAATCAAAACTGCAATTATCCCTTTCTGAATTAAATCCTTAAAACTTGAAATAAATCCTTAATACCTAGTTCGGCCTTGATCAAGGGCGACAACTTCTTTGGGGGTTGGCGGATGATCGGCGGCGGAGACGGCGAACAGGGTGGCGTCGGCAGACCGGATGCGCTAGTAATATCCAGTGACTGCAACCAGGAGAGACTTGTCAACTCGGCCTCGACTCCATCGTAGTCGTCAGTGCTGTCCATGCTGCTGCTATCCATTATGGTGGCGGTGGTGGTAGCAGCAGTGGTAGACGAGCTATCCTCCGTCGATACTTCAACTTCTACTAGATCGATCCTCATTTTTATCGTCTTTCATTACCCGCACCAGCTTGCCAGCGCGATAAGCGCCTGTTAAAAACAATGGTTCTTCGTTGCAGCGTTAATTTTTCCTGCAAGGTGCGTTCCTCACGTTTTAAAGAATCGTCGAGGGTTCCAATAGAGTTTAACAGTAATTAAATTATTCAAGTAATTAAATTTTCTAAATTATAAGCGATGAGGATGCGAACGATTGATTTTGTTGATTTCGGGAAGCAATGATAATACGTTGTCGAACTTTTCTGTCCACTCGCAGGCTTTTAGATAGTATCATGCAATATGGAGAAAAGTTAAAATTCCGACTGTATTGCTTTCAAAATTGTTCACGCGTTACTTGGAACTCATGATTCACTAATTTATGGAAATGTCTTCTGACGTCATGAGAAATAACAACCGCGCATTTGATGTAAAAACTTCTCCTTTTCTTTTTTATTTTATCTTACGTACTACAATATTATATACGTATAAATATAGAGAGCGTTTTGTTGGAATTCACACATATTTCCCCGCACTCTTTGGGAGGCAAACGGCATCAATAATGCGTCACCCGTTAATGCTCGTTCGCGGAAAGGCACAACATTGATCACAATTTTACAGAGCGAGGAATTTGCATTAAAAAAAAAAGAAGATTACAAAAATCACGATACCATACTCAAAACTGAAATTATTTCACGCTATTCCCGATAAAGACGAGGTATGCGCGTATATATGACAAGCATTTAACGACGACTGACTGCGAGAGAGTGGCGTACACACGGCATGGTCGGGCGAGTTCGACTGGTGGTAGCAAAGGGGTGGAACGCACTTGGCTAGCTAGCTATCCAGCTACCTGCTTACCAGCGACCTGACAGAGACACCCCAGTGCGCGCGTGTGGTGACAGGTGCTAGATTCCCTCTCGCACAGGTGGACCATGTACACGCGTCGTTGGTCAGACCCACCAACGACTCTCTTTCTCTAATACTTTCCTTTTCGTCGATATAACCCCCTCCCCTATAACTGAAATCAACGGAGAAGCTCGTAATCTCGTTCATGGCGATTGGCGAGTATGAATATTAGTGGCGACGCTGAAATATTTCAGATCGCAGATGACGTATGCAGATAAAACAGTTACATTAATTAAATTAAGATATTTATCGGTTACATAACCGATACGCATATTTCAGCAGTATATGATGTCTTATTGAGTGTTTCTTTCCGAACATTTGAAATATAAAGATCCGAATTATTCTAAATATTATTCGAAATTGGAAAAACGTGAAAGTCTTAAAAATTTTTTAAATTGTGAATGTTTGAACATTTAGAACATTTGTCCTTCAATGTATTTAAATCTTAAGTATATACAAAATCTCACAAACAAAATTGTTATCGATTATATTAGTAAGTAAAATAGATTTGATAAGTCTCGAACCTACTACACTAATTCTAAATTTTCGTAAACTAATCTTTTTTGTGAAAACAGTATTCTTACTAAATAAGTTAATACATTACATGGCTCTAATGAACATAAATATGATTATAAATACAATAAATTTTGAAATTGTTAATATATTTACGTCCAACTTTAATCTAACTACATAAATACATTGTAGATAGTTCTTTTATTATTAACGCAAGAATATATATAAATTTATTTCAATAGAAGATTTTTTTATAATCACTACTTATGTGTTTGTATTTATATCCATAGCAAGCCATTTTACTTTTTAATAGCATACAATTTAGTAGCACGAAAAAATGTCCATCATAAAACTCTTAAAAAATAATTATCTAAAAAAAGAATTACAGTTTTTATTATATTTTGTTATAATTTTAATTTCTCGATAAAAATGGTTTCATGCACGAATATATATAATTATATATAAACATACATAAACGTGTATAAATATTCATAACATACATAATTATATATGAAATATGTCTACACACGTCCATACTTTCTTCTTTTTTAATATAAAATTACTATTAGTATAATAAAAATAATTTTAGTTAGTATAATAAAAATAAAATTTAGTTAGTATAATAAAAATAATAATAATATGAGAAAACATCAAAAAGAATTGATAGGCATAATATTGCTTCGCATAATATTGCTTCTTATAAAAAAAGATCAAGTTTGGAGGAATGTAAAAAAATTGCTCATATAAATAATTATGTACAATATAATTTTATATATAATTATATATAGTAGGTATATACAGAACTTTGAACTTTTAATATTACAAGTATTAGACAAAATTTCTTTTATGCTATTAAAAAGTTAAACGACTCGCCATATACTTTTGAAAAAATTTACATAATTTTCCCTGCTTTTTAGGAAGGGTGATTTTTCAGATTTTCCAAATGTTCTATCTATAGATACAACAAATGAACGAAGGTATACGCGCACTTGTCAGTGTTATGTAGGCGGGGGTGAACGCAGTTCGCCCACTCGTCTTGGTACAGGTGCCTCCATTGATCGAATCGAGGGAGGCAGCGACCGCCAGTTACGATAAAGCCGGCGAACGAGAGGGGTAAAAGCCACGGCTATTCGACCGAGACGAGAGCATGGCGGATTTACCCCGGACATCATCATTGGTCGACGTCCATGCGGAATCGTTAGCATGAGATTCGTCAGCCTACTGACTCAACAAAGACGTGGGACAGTTGCGTACGATACGTACACGTAAATGTTTTTGGACGTTTTACAGAAAATTGATCCTTTTCCGGGAACGGAAAGAAAAATATTACGAAAAAATATGTTTTTGTAATAAAACAACAATTTTAAGAAGACAAACGTTTCCAAAAATGTGTGTGACGAAATTTTATTTCAACGGTAGCACTTATATGTATACACTGTCGACTAAAAGAGATCTTTAATTGAAAATCTAAATCAAACTTATATATAATTATATGTATTATAATTTGACAATTTTCATTATTTTACTCATTGTTTTATAATGAAATAAAAAGTAATATAAAATATTTGAAATTTTACAGAAAATATTTTTACAAAATTTTTGACAGAAAAATTATATTAGAAAAGAATATTACATACTTTTTCTGTCAAAGTGTTACCACCTTTATATTTACTTTTTTTTTACTAATTTAAGTAATCTTATTACAAGTTTATTTATTTTTTTAGAGTTTATTTACAATTTTAGAAAAAGTTCCTTCATGATCGTAATCTATTTTCTCGAAATTAAACAATGCTATATTAATCAAAACATAAATGAAAAATCAATATATATAATTATTGTACATTAATCAACAAAGTTTCGATAATGTTGATAAAAGCTATATTTTGCTTTTTGTGTCTAATATTCAAAAAAATCGTAGGTAATCAAAAGGACTTATTTTTTGAAAATGTAAATATGACGAGATCTTCCTGTAGATATTAATGAAATTAATTGAAATATTTAAATAAGTAATAGAGTGTGTTAATGTATCAATGGCTGAACAGCCGAAGTAGATGATTCAATGTTCGTAACCCTGCAAGGTAATAAACTATTTTTATAATTTTTGATAAAAATAAGATATTATTTAACAAAGATCAATTTGAATCAGTTATTTTTTATCATCAATTTATATTAATGTTTCCCATCAGCGTACTAATTTGATAATTGTGGTCGAACCTCAGGACAATTATACCGGAGTCCGGATAATTAGGCCATAATCAGCTATAATCTATTTCAGCTATCCGGCCACTGATACATTGACTCACTCTATTATTTATTTAAATATTTCAATTAATAATTATTATAAGGGTTCAAATAAATCGGCTAAAATTGAAAGGAGAGTGAAAATCCGAAGGGATTAAATTCTAGAATAAGTCAAAATACAAAGTACAAATGTTTACGCAGAAAGACAAATCTCACAGAAAGTAAAAGATTAGAGAATCCGAAAAGAATTTGGACGGACGCCATCGCTGAGGACTTCCCATTGTCGGTTACATTATTGTCAGTGGAAGTATCTGTTCCGATCAATAATCTGCTGGAAACATCCGTCTGCCTTGCCGAGTTACCCAGCTGACTGGCCACCTCGTTGAAGGTGGTGGTAGCGGAGTAGCAGCCAGTATCAGCAACCGGCAGTAGCAAGCACCTGCTACTGCTGTTCCCTCCCCGTAGTCCCCGCATCATGCTTGCGAACGCGCGACCGTCAAACTGTGAGTCACTACCATCGTTTCGTTGCATGTTAACGCTTACCTGCCCGCGCTAAAGCTCTATATTAAAGAGCTTTAGTCCGCACGCGCCCACCACGCTCTCGCAAAGTGATGCATTACATGCAACAACATTATGCGCCGCGCAAAAAGAGACATAATGGGACCAGCATAGCGTACAGTACTATCTGCGTTCGAATCGATTGCGGACACATTATTACAAGACGATCCATTTTGATGACTCTCTTCGCACTGGATTACATTCCGATTATAGTCGAATTGACGTGAATACAAGTCGATGAATTCCGGGGGAAGGAAAAAACGCGGACACGATGTGCAGGAATATATATAGGAATAGATTATATACTAGCGTATGTGCATGCTCTCGTTGTGTTCCGTCGTTTTACAACAATACTATCGACGATTCGAGACTGTCGAGACTTTTTTTTTTATTTTTGGAAATCAATTCTATATAAATGTTCGATTCGAAATGTATGAATGATTTTCTCGCGGTTTTGCAAATCAAAGGAAGCGATGCAACTGCATGAAATGCAGACGAAGAAATAATGACGCAATTCTCTTCTTAAGAAATACGAGGGGTCAGTCGCAGCGTGTACTCCTGAGAATGTAACTCCTGAGAATGTAGCGGGTCATCGCGATAAAAATGATGTGGACGTATTTCAGTGGGCAATTTAAAAGATCGGATAATACGCCGGAGGTTACGGATATAGACTCCGACGCGGACGCAAGCCAGAGTTCCGGGAGGGCGGAGGCGCTCGCGCATAAAATATTCAAGAGAATTGATTCCGAGGGCGAATACAGCAGCAGCAGTAGCAGACATCTACACCACCGCGACTATTCATGGCGATAATGACAAATTCTGCAAAACTATGAAATCTTTACGCTCCGATATCTCTCTCAGTATAAATGATTATAGAAAAGAAAAGAAAAATACCATTGCAACTTCCCCTCTTACTTCGTCTTTATGTTGTTTTTTTTTTTTCGATAATAGATTTTTTTAATAATACTAAAAGTATATTTTTTAATGGCAACATTCTTTTTAAATTGATTTGAATTTTCCAAAATTGCATTGATATATATAATTCAAGATACAGAAAGCTTGAGTAATGTAATTTAAAAAAAAAGACTATTATTAATTAAGACTTAATTGTTTTTTTCTTTATCATACTATTGAAATCTCCTATAACCTTATCTCTCTATTACTATCATTTCAATTTTAAGAAATTCAAATTAATTTTTTAAAGTGTCGTATTGTTATTAAAAAATATACTCCTAATATTGTTTTTAAAAATGTTTCTCCGAAACCGACTTTTTTCCAGTTTCCATGTTAGATTTCGAAATTAATCGTGCGCCGACCTAAAGTTAGACTTCAATTTCAATCGTGTACTTTTTCGTGGTGTAATTTTCGCGCTGGATTCTACAGCAGTCTTATGTTTTCAGCAATCTGAAAAGACATAAAAGCTATATACTCACCAAACTCACCCCCAATTCGAATTTACACAAACGCTTCGCGACACTGACTGATTGAAGAAAATTCTCAAGCGGCATATAATCCTTGTATCATTTGGAGATATCGTTCATAGATTATTTCAATCTATTTTCATTCGAAGTAGCTATTTCGATACTGCACACGTTCCTTGTAATATCTTAAAATTTAAAATACGATGATACACTATTTGCTAATATTATCACGCGCGCGCGATAAATTATCAAGAGCTAATTAAATGTTCTTATTCGATTAACTTCAATTCAGTGTCGACGTTCAGCGAGTTTATTCTTTCCTTTTGCAAGAATCCGAGATCGTTTTATCAAATTGATTGTTAGTCACGGTAGTTCTATCCGAACTAACGACTGCCATTGAAGAGCACTGGCACCATCAACCACCATAGCACCATTCTACCGCCATCTTCTTACCTGTACAAACGGTACCACTACGACAGGTATAGCAGGTGCGCGTGCACGATCGCCAGGGTTATCGATTACGGTCATTACTTATTTCGAAGGTTCATTCTCGCGCGAAAAATGCGACGAGATAGCTCGAGCAGAATAAATTTAAATATAACAATTTGCAAGGATTGCAGGAAGCAATTCTCTCTATCCTATCACTTCGCGCGAAACAAGTTTCGTCGCGAGAGAAAGACTCGAATCAGCAAATTATCGAATTGTAATCTTTTCTTCTTTGCGTTCACAATCGTTGATATATCTGATGTAAAAATTATATCGTGTCCTGCGATATTATTTTTTAAATTAAGTAATGGAATTCATAATGAAAAATTAAGTTTCGAATACTCGTGACTATCGCATAATTTATGGAGCTAAAAATATCAAGAGTAATCAAATGTTACGATGAATCTGAGATTGTGATGCATTATAGATCATTGTAACTTTATGAAGAATCTGAGATTGTGAGGCATTACAATTTTATGGACGTAATTTATGGGTGTAATTAAAATTAAGCGTGGAGTCTATTAATTTTTATCTTTGTGATATTAATCTTTTATTATATACAGTATCAGGCTGCTTCTCGCCCTGATGAAATGAACTGCAATGTTCACGAAACACTGGCATTCTAAGAATGGATTTGGACACAGAGATAACCCCCGAAATGCATAATTTCTGTATAGAAAGTGTCCGTGGAAATCTCAAGAGCCTATAATCTTTTATTATGTTTAGTTAAATTTGGATGTAAATTATATGCTAAAAAAACTTTGTAAAGTTAAAACCTTTGTAAAGTTCTGTTTAATTTTTAATGTATCCAACATTAAATGCAATCAATAAGTTTTTAACATTTTTTTGTTATTAACTCATCTTTGGCATTTATTTCATTTGATTGTTATATTGTTTTTTCTTCTTTTTTTCTAATTATTTATATTACACCAAAATATTTTACAGAACAATTTAATCAGATATAGAAGAAGAGAACACGATTGGCGAAGACCTCTAACGTTCGCACAACGGCGAAATTGCACCTGGACCCGCAGTTTTTAAAATCTGCCGGTAGACGAACCACCACGTGGAAGATAAGAGGGACTTACCAATTAGTCGTAAAAGGAATCAGCAAGGCGTAAAAACTTGGCGCACGGCGAAGTAAGGGGAGTTTAGCGAGAAGAGAGAACTGCGAGTGTCGATGATTTATTTCCATTACATTATAGCACTCCTAATATTTTATATTCGTATTTAAATCTGTCCTAAGAAAATCCTCAAAAATGGCCAATGCGGATATATCCTCAATATCATCTTGGCGACTAGTCTGCCGAGTACTCCTACGATGTTCCTTATGAAAGATTATGGAAATCAGGACTTTTAGACAAAAAACAGTTATGCATTTGTACAGAATGGACTGTAATTCGTGAAACAATGGAAAAGAAAACAATTATTTATGCAAAGATAAATTGGAAAAGATGTAAAATATTTCTTTTTGAACAATTCCTCGGATTTTCTGAAAGTCCAAAATTTTTGTTGCTCTTCAAAATCGATTTGCAAAAAAAAACCTAGATTTTGACTTTTGACTGACATCATTTTGTTATTTTTCACTTCTCTCCTTTTCTCAAGTTCGTGCCCTCTTGCAAACATTCACAAATGAAAATGTCTTTCTGTTTCAGATCATCGAGATATGCACACTGCGTTTTTTTATAGTGCACTGTGAACGCCAATAATTTAGAACTTAATAATGTGAATATATCTATCTAAATTTTTATATATTAGGTGTAGTAAAAAGAAATCCATCTTTTGGAAAAATAATGGATTTCTTTTTACTACACCTAATATATTAAAGTTAATTCAATATACGTACCAAAATCTACAAAATTCCAGTGGATTTTTTCAAAAAAATTCCTAAAAGCGTCGCTTGTTAGACTTTCAAAGAGATCCCTTAATAAGAGAATTTAAGTAGATTTAATCAGTGAGAAAAATAAATTCTATCCTTATGGACATGCACAACACAAATAGAAGTAATAATAAATAACAATAAAGTCAGAAAGTGTTTTGTATATAAAAATGTAATTTTTTTTAAATTTATCTTTACATAAAAAATCAATTCTTTTTGTACCACGAATTACAGTCCACTGTACAGGTACAAATACAAGTTCATATACACATATATCCGCATAAATATGTGCATACATACATGTATATGCATGATCCGCTAGAAATTCTAATATAAATATAAATATTTCATTGAATAAGTCGCGTTATTACGCGAATTACATGAACCGAAGAAAACGCTGTCAGGATGTGATGTATACCTACAATTGTATTGTGTGTGTGTGTGTGTGTGTGTGTGTGAGCGCACACGCGCGCACGCACGTGTATGTTTAAGAGTCGAAGGAAGAGAAGGAAAAGGAGAGAGACGGAATACGAGGAGAAAAAACGTACGTGCATACCGATTGTAATTCAATTTAACAAACGCCAGCTCGCCAGCGCGCTTCTCAATAGTCATTCTATTGCGCACACGGTCATTCCATGACCACGAGAATACAAATTCTAAGTGAGACGACGACGCATGTCGACTGAAACAGTCATCGGTTTCCGCTATCTACGAGATATCGTTCGGAGTGCAATAACACCGTTCATACACGGTATTCGAAAGGTAAATGTTTGAAGAGAACTGCAAAAACCGATGTATTATGATGTGTGACATGCCCTGCAGTCACCTCGCTGCTTTAATTACCGATTCTTATGGTTGATTAGTAGTGAACGGTGTCACTCCGTTATTAGCCATATTGTCCAGTACACCACTGATGTACGCCGCGACATCGATCGTCGCTTCCTCGGCTTGTCTGATGAACGGATGTTCCAGCAATTTATTGTACTTCGGTCGCTGCGTCTCCTCTTTAATTAAGCTTAACAGATAATACAAACGATTGTCATACCAAAAGGAACATGTAGCTGTACCGGTAGAAAAATATGATGTTATTCTACCATGTATTCACAAAGTTCACAAAATCCATAGTGAAATGATTGCCATTCTCATTGGGGGAAAGTCGCGGCGGATCACCTTGAACTACTTGATACAGTTGTTCAAAGACAGAGTTCCACTTTGGGTATGGAAAATATCCTGTAGCAACCTCCATCAGCGTAATACCTAATGACCATACGTCGCTCCGTACGTCGTAGCCACGTGCGCGTTGAGGGTCTATCCTTTCCGGCTAAATAATTATAATATTTATGAAACATGAACAATTTAACAAGCTATTCGTTTTAGGATTATTAATTACACACGCCATTAAAACTTACAGCCATATATGGTCTACAACCAGCATCACGAGTCCTCGCAATTGAGTCCACAAGCTGGCCAGATATACCAAAGTCGCACAATTTTATGTTACCTCGACGATCCAATAAAATATTACTAGGTTTCACATCCCTGTGAATTATTCTTAGTTTCTCTTTGAGGTAATTCAGTGCTTTTACAGTGGCAACTGTGATTTTGCCTAGAATACATTCTGGTATCCTCTCGTTTAATTTCTCATAGATGAATTTGTAAAACTTATCTAACGATGTATCCATAAGTTCCATGCAAATCCAACAATCTCCCTGTATATAAAAAAACAAAATACTCTAATAATTATCTTGATCATTAATGTGCGATATCATCGAACTATATATACCTCTTTAAATAAAGCGCCATAAAATTGCACAATACACGGGCATTCATTCGATTTCATCACAACTTCCAAATCCATTAACAATTGCTTTTGTTCTCTTTCGTCCACGGTAGAGCGAATTCTCTAAAATATAATTCAAATAACTTACAAATTCTAAATAGAATTTATTAGGTGTGTGCAAAGGTTTTTTGTAACTTTTATGCAATAATAATCATAAAAATATATGTCCTTACTTTCTATAACTTTTTGCCATCTCTCAGACAGTTTAGATTTTAACGCTAAAAAAAGACATTGGTTTGAAAGTAATAACATCATTAATCTATCTTCTAATTCTAGCTGCATCTCAAAAATGTTATTTCAACTTTAAAATACATCGATCGGAATAAGTAATAATCAAGTCGAATAAATATGCTGCACATAAGAGCTTCCCAGCTTAAGTTAAAGATGGTTTGTACAAAAAGTGTGCAGCCTAGATTTATTGTGCAGCAAAATGACTTTCTAGTTTCCTTATCCATATTATATATAAATAGCTTTTTCTATTCGATTTTGTCAACTAAATGATTCAAGTGACAATTATAATATTTGGTAATAATTGTTTCATCTGATTTGAGCTTATAAAACAGCATACTTTCAATGTCCTACCAGATACAAAAAAGACCTTATACATGGATGTTTAAGTTTGCTATTATATTCATTAAATCATGATATATGATGTTTCACAAACTTCAATGCCAACTCTTCAAAAATACAAAAAAAGAAAATTTATTTGAATATTAAATAATTATAGAAGGCTAAAAAATACAGTAAACTTTTGCACACACCTAATTATTGTAATTAAAATTGTAATTTAAAACCAGAAGCACATAGAAAAACATAAGAGAGCAGTTCACTTGCATACCGTTGCAATTGTCCTGCATCTGTCGATCATAGTGACTTTCACCTAGAGATCTTTTTTTATTTTCTAATGCTGTGATTAGTTGGTGTCCAATTGCAACATGCACAATTGATATACACTCAAAAACAGTAATAAATAAATTGACTAATATCACAACAAAGAATATAATGCATTAATCTCTGTAATTAGCCAATTTACTTACTACTTATGTTTTACTTTCTTACGTTTCTCTGTTTCTGGCTTAAATAGAAATGGAAGGAATGAGAATTTTAATTACTTACCTTCACAGCCATAACGGTATTGCTTATCCTATGAATCATTTTATTTACAGTTCCAAATCCTCCTCTTCCTATTTCTCCAAGATCCTGAAGGTCCTCGCTTGTGAAATCATACACTACGTCTGAAGATAATTGCAATTTACCAGTAGTCTGCATAGACTGGCACATTCGTAGTTTGTCTCTACAATAAGCTCCGTTGTAATTTATCTCAAATGATATGCCTTCTTTTTGTTTCTAATTCCATACCTTGCCTTATCAGGAAGAAATTCTTGCTGCTGTAACATATTGCGAGATCTTACTGGCAGCTTAGGTAGAGATAAAGGCAGACTTGGGCGAGAGGATCTATCATCACGAATGGAAAAGTCAGTCTTATTATGTAGAAAGGACAAACACCTATGGAATTATTTTGCTTGCTAAAATCTCACATTGGTGGACACGCCATGGCTCCTGTTGAATTTGACAATAAAGAATTTGTAGAATTGGCAAATGACAAATTATTGCCTTGCGTTTGGAAACTAAGTTTCAGCTGTCTTCGTCTCTCTGCAACAGAACGCAGGATAGTGAGGAAATCATCCTAACATTTCAATTTCTTTATCTCTCTATCTATCTCTTTCTCTCTCTTTCTTTCTTTTTCTCAAAAAGATCGCATAATGTCGAACATACCCGACATCTCATTTTGAACGTCATTATTTGTTCGAAAATCCATTCGCGGAAAATTAAAAGATCTGCCAGAACCTGCAATGTTAGGATTCTATTAGAAAGTAACGAAGGAAACTTTGAGACCGAAAATCATGCGTCGTTCGACGAAATCGTGGTCCTCGCTTATCCGGGAGTCGGGACTCGTATCACCGCGGAGATGAGAATAGGTTAAGTTATCTACATGAAAAAAGGCATCGTGTGTGCGAAAGTGACAACAACATACCTTGACCGGTCTGGCTAGATAAGTTACTCTGATTCTCCGCCATTCTGGCAAGAATCACCCTCGAACCTCGCGTTTCGCGCCCGCACGGAATCGTTAAAGGCGCTTCTTTTAGGAGACCTTCTCGCAAGATCTCAACAGTCTGGCGTATACATTATGCAGCAATCGCACCATTTGTATTGTCGCGCGATCCGAAAGGTGAGATCCCGTTGCCCGGTTTCAAGTTCCGAGACAATAACCAACGATAACTATCGAATCACAAGTCACCGAACTTATGAATCCTCACGAAATCTCACTCACTCGTCGACAGTTATTCAAGTTATCACGAGTCACGAGCATTCGACCGCTTAAGGTGCTTTTCCATGGACGTCAATTGACGCTCGAAAACAGGTACGGGTAAGGTTAGATCAGTATAATAAGCAAGTAGAACAAAAAATCATGATAATATCGAAATGATGTCAAAATGACTTCAAAACACTGAACTATATATACACTGGAATGGGCATCGAGGAAAATTCGTGGCCATAATTGATCAGCCATTTTAGTTGGGACGATATTTGAGCGAATCAGAAACGTTCGCGCGCGCGGTGCGATCGATGTATCGATCGATGTACTATCGATGTATGGAAATCTTATATGAACATGATATGTAAATAAAAAAAATGTCACTTCAATTTTATTAGTATTCAATAAAATAACATTAATAACAATTTTCATATCCTACATCGTTAACATATGTGCAGAAATTGATACATTTAATACAAAAATTCTTACCTATGAAATGAAATGCCCTTTTTACTTCTTTACCAACATAGCACTTCATTTGATGCTTTGCACATTTTACAGTCATGTGATTTTATAATCTTTCAAAGTAATCTTTCAAATATAACCCCACACACGATGATCTTGCTGACGTATATATCTCACTAAAGAACACTAAACGTAAGTGCGCATGAACACTTGAAAGCTTCTGATTCGCTCTTATATTGACCAAATAAAAATGGCGCTGATCAATTGGTGCCAATTTGATTTTCTATGCTTCACAGCGGAGATGCCCATTCTAGTGTATATATAATTCAGTGCTCCAAAATGATTATTAAAAGCCATTTTTTGATCATGATAAAAAAATGATTTCAAATTATGATAATCAAATTATGATTTCGAAATTTTAGACGTTGTTTTTACCATTGTGAAATTACCAATACTGTAATTGTGATTGCATGCATGCAATCGAAAACGATTTTTACATTACTAACAAGTAGAAAATTGTAGAGACAAAAAATTAAAAATGAGCAAGATCTCCAGCATACTTGACACGGCCGTTTGATGCATAAGAAAATGAACCAATTAAAGGTTCAAACCAATTAACCAATATACTTTATTTCTTTTCTTTCCATAAAATAGAGGGCTTTAAGTGGTTCATTCTTTTAGACCTTATATTATATTATTGTATAAGAGTCTGTGCTTCGGATAGCGACACAGACTTTTGTACAACGCATAACGCTTTATGTATAATGCAAAAGCGAATCAACCAATCAGAATCTTTCCTTTCCTCCTATTCCATGGAAAAGAAAAATTTCGTTGATTCCCTTATGCATTATATATTATACGTTATGCTGCGGCTAATATGGGCCTTCTACAATAAGTTATTAGTCATAAATCAAAAGTTAAAAGCTAAAAATTGACGACTGTGATTGGTCAATTTCCAGCTTCTAACTTCTGATTTATGGCTAATGGCTTATTGCAGAATGCTTCTTACAGAAAAGAAGAATGTTGATTCTTTTATGCGTTATGCAAAAGTCTGTGCTGCGGCCATAAGAAATTTCGAGGAAACAGGCACACAGAGAAGCAATTAGCAGAATAGAGAAATCACAGAGAGAGTCTTTTTCCTAACCGCAAAAAATGGCCCAGCGCACTACTGCCCTCTGAAAGTTTCTCTTTGGGGATCTGTATCTTCAAACAAGGTGAAAATTACAAAAGTGAGCAAAGTTACTAGGTGTTGACCAATAAAATAATCAATATTCTAGTAAATTTACTCACTTTTATAATTTTCACTTCATTTCAAGATATAGAATCAATCTCCTGGTATCACACTATATTAATATCATGGTGGAAAAATAAAAACCAGATTTTACATCTCATGTTACAAACAATCGCTATTAGAAGAATGGTTAATTTATGTTTATTTGTTACATCGTCTACAAAATTATTAAATAATTATGGATTGGCAAGGTGAGACAAAATAAATAATTTTTATAAATAGATTATGATCTTTCTTTTTGACAATTATTTTAATTGTTCTGTTGTATACTTACAATTTTTATACATTTATAGAAGTATAAATAATTTTAGATATTATTTCACGAGTCTTAAAAGAGGATACAGCGTTTTCCCATCCCATTATATTAGCCCGGTATATAATAAAGAAGAACAAGAAATTCTATTTCAAAGCGATGAAGCAAAGAAAATTATACATGAGCAAGTGAAACCAGCATTAGTCTCTGATACATGCTCCGAATTTTATGATAAAAGAGTGCTGTAAGAAACTGTTCTAATTTTAGCTTCTTCTTAATGCAGACTTTTTTAACCATTTTGTAACATCCTTCAATCATGTTTAGAAAATTTATTAATACTCTTATGAAGAACGGAAATAAGAAATTAGTGACAACATTGGTAATGAAAACTTTCGAAGGTGTCAAAAGAATACAGCTGGAGCGTTATCATAAAGCAACGACGAGTGAAGCAAAAGCTGAAATTGAATTGGATCCATTTGTAATTTTCCACCGTGCTGTCGATAATTGTACACCAATTTTACAATTAACATGTTGTTCAAAAGGAGGAATCACATATCAGGTAATGTACTAGAAATTGAAATTAGAACATCAAGAAAGAAATATTATTTTGAGATAACAATCTATAAGTATGTTAGAGATGTGAACAAATGATTAAAGTTTTAAAAGATTTATTGCACAAATTTTTATCTCTATTCCAAGATCATTCTATATGTTCACAAAGCTGTGAGACTGAAACTATAAGTACTATCTTCAAAACTGTGGATATCACATATTGTATCTCTCGCAAATTAATACTAAAAATGGATTTCTAAAACTTTAATCATTTGTTTATACAGTTTCTATAAGAAATAAAATAGTTTCGTTCTAATTAAATGTCTACTTTTAGTGTTATAATATCAATTTTTAGCAGTGTATATTGTTAAATATATTAATTATGTAACAACTGATAAGGTAAAATCAATCTTTTAGGTTCCTATTCCTATTACACCTCTAAAGGCACAGCATAAATCTATGTTATGGTTAATTCAAGCTGCAAATGAAAAAGAGTCCCATTTGAGATTTTATGATATATTAGCCAAGGAATTAGTAGCAGCTTTTCAGAATCAGGTGCACAATTTATGTATTAATATAAATATAAAATAATTTCTACATTGTGATGCACATAATATGCTATATGTATACTATATAGGGTATATATTAAGTATACTAAAAGATTTCAAGTGATGATTCTTCATCCAAATTTAAGACGAAAACTATATATCTAAAACGATTTAGTTTCAAAGATACAGAGTGTCAAAGTTGAAAAAATTTCGAAAACCATTCCAGGTTATTTTTATAAAACTTTGTATATGTTTGAAAGTCATTTCTGATATATGATCAAGTTTTCTTAAATTTATATGAAGAATTATCCCTTAAAATTTTTTAGTATACATCCTGTACAATGACAATCTATTACAATGATATCTATTGTCTCAGGGTCGTGCAGTTAAATGGAAGCAAGAATTACACAAGAAATGCCAAGCTAATCGGGCTTATGCACACTTCAGATGGATGTAGATAATAATAAATTTAATCACTCGCACTAGACTAGTATACATTAAGGTTCGAATACAATGAAAAAAATAAGAAACAAGAAATAACAGATTTCAACCTGTCAGAGACCTCATATTCTCATTTCTGATTAAAATTTGTTATCGTTTGCTCCTTATTCCTTTTATTGTTTCTGAGCATCAAATGCAGCAAGATAATATATGATCAATTTTACCATTTACGATTAGCCTTGATTGGTCTATTAAGTATCAACTGTGACTTGTTAATTCTATTTAACAAGAAATATTCAAACTGATTAGAGATGATAAAATCAGCCCATAATCAACTTTCAACGACGAAATAATATATTTTGTTAAAAATAAGTGACAATATCATTACTGAGCATTCAGTTGTTAAAATATTTATATGTTTTACATTTGATTTCATTAATTTCATATATAGCAACTTTTAGTATTCAATCTAGAGTAATTAAAGTAATCGAATTTGCTATAAAATAGGTTCTATATATATGAATAAATTAGTTTTGAAATATAATAATGCTTTATAGAAATACTTTATACAAATTTAACAAAATTGTTAAGCCATTCCCAGAATACATCTAAATTTGTCAACATCGATTATTCGTCCAAACTTCATATTTATTTTTAAAATCTCTGTTTGTGAAGTCAGTGTTATCTTTTTATATAAAGGATCAGTAATACTAATCGAGTTATCTGACATGGGATAAATTTCATTGAAAAAAACTTTCAAGTCTATCCTCTTTCCCCAATAATTTATATAAGATAATATCACTTTTTTTTCATCCAATTTCAAATATACACATCCTATGAGATTGTTGCATAAAAATCCAAGAGTATGTAGCCACATTGTTATTAGAACTCCTATGAATGAAAAGAGAAAATATTTATTTATATAAATCAATTTTACTTGAAAAAAATTTAAAATGTTTCTATTTTACCAGCTGCTATTGATGTACTAGTTACGTCAAAGGGTAAGAAGTTGGCCAAGTGAAGTCCAATGATTACTGGTGTGGCTACTCCAGCAAATATAGTAAATCGGTATTTTACAACATTTAGACCACAAGCTTGTTTGACAAAAGGAAACATATAGATCACTTCATAATCGGGAAATTTCGTGGAGACAATTTCCACTTTTTGCTTTTCCTCATTTTTATTCGCAACATGACTTAATGTTTTAATATTCGAATATCTAACACTGTTTGAAACACGATATAAAAATCGTTCGCAAAGATTCGACAAGAGTCGGGAATACATTTACGTATACACGTAATGTATATTATAGTATTTCCCTAGTTTTTGTTTATGTTTCTTTTCAAGAATAAAGGAGGTTAGATATCTTGGGCCGCTCTCACTCTCAACTTTGACCATTTCGACGGCCGATTAAATATTGCCAACTGCAAGACTTAAAAACATTATTTTCTGATGGGGCGTCAAATATGTTCACATGTTCGATTCGTATGGTTTTTTCATGATTGAGAAATTTATAATTAATAAGAACCTGTGCAGCCTGTGCTATTATTATCACATTGTCTTCACAGCCGCCAGAAAATTAAGTTATGTTTTCAATCTTGTAGTCATTTGTGCATTACTAAAAATGAATTTTATTAAAATATTAAAAAATGAAAAGAGTGAAGCAACTTATTGAAATCGATTCTACTTAAGTGAAAATAATGCAAGGTAAAATATAATTGAACAGTTGTCAAGTTTACTAATTTGTATTTGCGATCAGATTAACTTCAAAATGCAAATCTTTTGAATGTAGAGTGAAAATAATTATTCAAATTTGATTAAAAAATTTCTTTTTACTTCTTTTCTGGAGTCTGAATGGATTAGGATGGATTTCCGCTTTATTATAATTCAATGGTCGCGTTCAGTAAAATTTGACAGTAAAACTCACACATAATAAATAATCATTTATTTATAGTAAATAATTACTTACTATTACTTTTCTTTACTATTATTTATTATTTTTCACTTAATGTGACTTTGACAATATCATATGTTAAGGTCAAATTCATGAGAGAAATCTCCCCCAATCAGCATATTTACTTAAAATTGTATATCTGATTTTTTATATTTATTTTAATCTTACAGTATCCAATTAATTTTAAAAATTTTCGTCGTGTCGCACAAGATACATTCTTGAATTCATCTTATATACTTCGATTTTGTATGATTTTGATAACTACCATAACTGCTTGTTACATGTCCAAATAGTGAATTGTATTCTGAAAATTTTTACACATTCTGAAAACTATCGAAAAAAAATGTCGCAATCTTTGTTCTGTGTTCACGAATGTACATTAACATGTCTCAATAATGATTACATGTACATACGTATACTTTTTCTTTCAATACTGTAAGCTTTTAGCCAGTTTTTCTAGTCTCTTGGCTCACTGTGCATTACTAAAAAAAGGAGAATAGCTTTCTAATATAATCGTCCTGTCCCTCTTCTCTCTCTCTCTCTCTCTCTCTCTCTCTCTCTCTCACTCTCATAGTACAAATTTTTGTATGAAGTTTATATATGGAAAAGGAGCATTTATCATAAATATATAAAGTCAGTTGAATTAAATCAATACATACATTACTATGTAATATCTTAAATTTTTATTCGCACAGAGAACATTGTTTTCTATATTTTAAATGAGCTATATTTATTTAAACAACATAATTATTAGCTTTTGTCAGAAAATATAGCAACTGTAGAATAATAATCACATATATCATTCAATTGTTACATAATGGAGAGCAAAAATCTTTATTCTGCTCGAGTGTATAGTGATTGAACATGATTGCATTTGCATTAAGTTTTTCTACTTTAACAGCCGATTATCCGATCAATTCCTAGAAGAAAAAATTAGTTTTGTAAACGAAAAAACTTGGTACAAGATACAATTTTACTATTACATCATAGCTGGAACATTTTTGCTCTCCATACTATACTCGTTAATTGCGAGGCTATTACATTCGATTATTCTAATATATACTGATTAATCTTGAAAATTCAAGTTAAAAATACTCAGCGAATGTATATACATACATATATACAGGATATTCCACTAGTAACTTTAATCTTTAAAAATATCTCATTGAATACAGATGATCATCATTGAACAGATTAATATTAAACTAAGAATCTTGTAGGATTAATAATTAATGATAAATATTTAATGAACTCTATTAATTTTTTTTTTCAATAAAAAATATGGAATAATAAATGAAAATATCAAATATTTTTTTAGTCGATATACGTACAGCGATTGAAATTTTGACTTAAACATTTCTAATGACCATTCACTTGGAATTAAATGAAAATGAAAACTATCCTATTTTTCTAATCTCTCAGGAAAACATTCATTTTGAATTGCTTATAATTTAAAAACTATTGATGTTTTTGTATTAAAATTTAATATTAGATTTTAATTTACTTAAAAAATTTTTGTCATTTTAACGGTTTGTTCTATAAAAGTGGGATATCTTGTATAATTAAATGACACGCCAGACATATACATTCTTTCGAGTTGTGTGGAATCACACACGTGACTGCATTAATCACAAGAATTTATTTTATTATGAGCAATCATTTCTCTAAATATAAATTATTATAAATCATTTATCAAGTAAAAGTCAAACGACATAACATCTTACATCTTTTTCTTAAATAAGTTAAGTAACATACAGGAATGTGTGGGACAAGTGGAAAAACAACTTGTAATACAAATTTAAATATTTAGGATACAAAAGAAATGTATACGAAAAAATTTATATAATATCGGCATATATATAAAAATTTGCTAATGCAGAATGACTGCGATGATAAACAAATATTTTTGGCACTCTCTTTTAATCTAACATCATTAATTCAGAAAACACTTGTATATAGAATAATACCAAATTCATATGACTAACAAGTAAATTTATCCAAGTATAACTTCCGTGTTCTTCCAAATTTGATATAAATATAGAACTATGAAAAATATTTTACCCATATGTCTTTCAATTCTGATTATACATATCTTGTATTCAAACATTTGTAAGATTTTATTCTGTTCAAAGCTAATAAGAAAGTGAAAATTAAAAGAATAGTAATCCTTAAAACCACTTATGGGTCAAAATAAAAAGACATGGATAAAATATTGCTCACAGTTCCACTTATGCTAAATTTGAAAGAAATCAGAGAGTTATACTTAGGTTTACTAAGTGCCCTAAATGCCTTGCTCATAATTTCTAACATTTGTATAGTTTAAAATTATACTTACAAAATATGTATTTTCAATTATTTAAATAGACTATTAAAAATGTAGTAGGTTGAAAAGAAAATATGCATATATACAAGATATGTCACAGTCATAATTCATATAAATATCTAAGAATTCTTGGAACCTATTTTTTCAGAGAAACTTAATCGCTTTCAGTCGATTTTAACTTAATATTAAGAAAAAAAGATGAAAAAGCTTCTCTCTTTTATTAAAATTTAATACAACAAAAATGACATAATCAGTAAGTATGGAATATATTCATGATTGTATAAAATTTGTTGATATGTGAAAACATGCCAGTAATGAAGATTATTAGATCCCTCTGCCATATCGCACGATAAGATAGATTAATTTATCAATATATA